ATCGTCATTCATCAGAGGGTCGGTGTCTGGTGAGCCCCAAATTGTGCCGGGTTCCAAACTGCTTTCTAGAATGGCTGGCCCGGTTTACAACTCGGCCTATGTTTTAATAGGAAATTGTGTCCTTCATTCTAATGTAAGCCCCTGTCAGCTAGGGATGGTTTTGTTCTTCGTCGGCCCGGGGCCGGGGTGCACGTAGTGATTATTTCTGGATTAGCACCCCGTCCCTCCCCCCCACCTTATAGAAAGAAAACCAACAGAACACACAGGATGGTTTAGGCCGAGCTCAGAGTTGGCCATTAACTATTGCTGGCTGCCTTCAAAGCTGCCTCTGGGCCTGTTTTCTTTTTTTCCCGTAAGTGTTTTGCTTTCTTACAAAACAAGCTTCAAGGCAGGTTTAGTAGATGATTGTCGATTAAAAGCAAAAGGTGGCTATAAACTACAGAACTTTCAGAAATGTGAATTTAATTTTTAAATAGTTAGAAACAGCCCAGGCCCTAGGGTCATCTTCTGAGGGAGAAGGGAGTTCAGGATGCCCAGGGAGGACCCGCAGCTCTGGGTGATCCCCTCATCCCCGTGTGACCCTGAACAAGGCACTTGAAGGGGAACAAATATGTATTAAGCACCTACTATGTGCCGGTCTCTAACCTGAGGAGGAATGACAGGTCCAGGCTCCTGACTGAAGGAGGCCCAAGATGGGATCGAGGGCACCTCCTAGGCTTGGCTCGGAAGGAGGAGGTTAGCTGGCACTGAGAAGAGCTTGGGGTCAGGGGATGGGAAGCCCAAAACATTCCTAGCCCTTGTTCTAGGGGGGCCCATAGACGTAAGTATGTCCGGAAGACATCCCTGGGGGGAGACGCTGAGAGAGCAGCCAGATGAAAAGAAGCGAAGCTTCCCAGGGAAAGAAGGAATGAAAAAAGCCTTTAGTAAGATCTGAATAAATACTAAACTGTGGAGATACAGGCTCTGCCCTGCAGGAGTTTTCTTTCAAATGGATGGAGAGAGAGATTTCTCAGGCCTGGAGGAGCCTTGGATTTTTGAGGTCTTCTTGGCCGAGATACTGCAGGGGTTTGTCATTTCCTTCTCCAGCTCATTTTACAGATGAGGAAACTGAGGCAAACAGGGTGCAGTGACTTCCCAGGGTCACCCATCTGGGAAGTGTCTGAGGCCGGAAGACTCCAGGTGGGGCACTTTCTCCGCTTCTGTACACAGTACCCAGTGGGATTGAAATGAAAGTCTCCCTGAGGCTACGGCCCTGGGGCCTGGAGTGAGTCCTTGTTTCTTCCTAATCCTTTCCTCCTGGTTTAGAGCTCTGCCCTTGGGAGAGGGAGACAAAGGTTATTTGGGGGCTCAGGGCAAGGAGCGGGGTGGAGGCCCCAGAAGGCCCTGTCTAAGTTCTTGGAATGAAAACGGCCCTCCAGGGGGGCATGAAGCGCTCCATTCTCCCGTGTCACCTGGGGACCAGGTTTCAAATCTCAGCCTGCCCTTGGCCACCTGTGTGACCTTGGCCCATTCACTTGGCTTCTCTGTCAGTTTCTTTCTCTGTAAAACAGGAATATCACCACCTACCAGCCTGGATCTAATGAGATCACGTTTTGGCAAGCACTTGGCAGCCTGTCCTCAGCTATGTCCACGCTAGCATTTATTAACACCTGCATATTGATTAATTAATTAATGGCCTGCAAAGTGATAACAGATGAGGGGGGGAAGGTAGAAAGAATCCAGGGAAGGACCCAGCCCCATGGAATCCCAGAACAGGGAGCCCTCTAGCTGGCAGGGGCTTAACAATTCCTGGATGCAGACTGAGGACCGAATTTCCTCAGTATCCTTCCAGTCTGTGGTAGAACAGGGACCAGAACTCAGGTGTCTGGGCTCCATGGGCTGTACAGTCCTGCCTTCCATAGCTCAGCGGAACCTCATTTTCCCAGTTGGGGTCCAGGATTTTCCCGGGGGGGCGCAGGGGAGAGGGCCAGGTGAGGGAGCAAGAGATTCTTCTGCTGTATATGTGGACTCAAAGACATGGGAGAAAAAGGCAGATGAAGGGGAAAGGCCACAACTTATGGTCAGTCAGGCTCTGTCCCAAGGCTTGGCCTCCTGGTGAGCAGGGAGTCTGGCCTGGGAGGCAGGAGATACAGGGTCAGGCCCCTGTGCCTCTGGATCATCTCCCCCACACTAGGCTTTCTGGGGTTTGGTAAGCATGCACCCAGAAAGTGCTGGCAGCCTGTTCTGGGGCCCAAACCTTCCTTGGGCTCTGGGGTGGGTGTCTGCCTTTATCTCTTCTCTGTCTTTCTGCCTCCATAGCCTGGCCTTCCTGGATCTCTGTTCTCTGGGGACTGAAACCCCCAAAGGCTCCCTGGCCTCTGGCTAGCAGGAAGGGAGTCAATTTAACCCAACTTTTGTGAAGCAGCGACCCCATACAAGCCAGGCCCGGTCCAGTGACCCAGTCTAACAGATGCCCCCCATTCTGCAATTCCAGAAGGCCTTTCCACTTCATTGTTAACATTGGGCTTCCATAGGGTTGGAGTAAAGAGGGGGGGGTGCAGAAGGGGGGATTTGGTCACTGTTGATCTTGGGGGGGGTGAAGGAAAGGAGTCTGGGGCAGTGTCCTGGGTGATGGGAAGGATGTCAGAGGGCTCAGCGGGAAAAGAGGAGCTGAGCTGGTCCTGAGTGGGTGAGAAGCCATTCACCAGCTGCCTGCCGTGTGCCAGGCCCGTGTCGGCGCTGGGGCCCTGCCTTGAAGAAGCTCACAAGAATGGTTCCCAAGCCACAGAGCCAGGAGGGATTGCTGGAGAAGGCAAAGCCGAAAGGCTCTTTGGTAACAGAAGACCTCCAGGAGCGAGCAGGCAGCCCGGGTACTAGTCACTCCTCCCAGACCATAAAGCTCCAAGCAGGGCTCTGCCCTGACTTTCTTTAGCAGGGATTTTTTCCCCTGCTTGGGTTCAACTCAAAGGCCAGCGAGGCCCTTTCCAACTCCAAGATTTTGTGAACGTGGGGAAGGTTTAAAATGTTCCCAAAGAGCAGTCGGTGCTTTCCATAGTGTCTGACTCTCCGCGACCCCATTTTGGGATGAGTGGAGTGGTTTGCCGTTTCTTCTCCAGCTCCTTTTACAGATGAGGAAATTAAGGCAAGCAGGGTGAAGTGACTTTTACAGGGTCACATGGTGTTTTAGGCCCTGTTTTAACTCAGGTCTTCCTGACTCCAGGCCTTGTACTCTCTCAAATGCATCACCTAGACTCTGGGCTGGAAATATCCAGGGGGATTGCTTAATCAGGAAGGGAGCAAGTGTTTATTAAGTGAGTGCTGTGTGCCAGGCTCTGCGTTCAGGGCTTTACCAGTGGACCCTCACAACAGCCCTTTGAGGTAGGTGCTGTTGTCATCCCCATTTTACAGTGAAGTAAACTGAGACTAAGCGGCTTGCCCAGGGTCACACAGCTAGCTGGGGCAGGATTTGAACTCATCTTCCGACTGCAGGCAAAGTGCTCCATTCACTGGGTCCCAAGAGGGACCTTCGAGGCCCAGGGCCTCTGCCTCGGGAGCTGCCGGGAAAGGAATCTGAGGCCGAGCAGCCAAAGGTGGCCAAGCCCGGCTCTTTCAGGCACTCCTGTGTATCCGGCACTAAGCCAGCTGCCTTTGTGTGGATTTGTTAACACTTTGTCTCAAGCTCCCGGAGGGCAGGGACTGGCTTTTCATATCCTACAGTGCTTGGCGTCTCCTAGCCCCTTACCTAATATGAATTGAACTGGCAGTTATTAAGCACTTACTGTGTGCTGGGGCTCTCTGCCATCTCCAGGTAGTGATTTCCTGGCATTTGTGTGGACATTTCCAAACGCTCCGTCTCCCAGAGGCGACCAGTCTAGGACACTGTAGGACAGTTTGCACTTTAAGGGAGAAAGCTAGAGGGAAGACTTGTCCCAGACGCTAGAGGCAGGGCTTTGGTCTGGAAGTTGCAGCATCTGTAGGGAGATCCCCGGGTTCCATTCAGGGGTCAGGAGACCCCAGGCACACTTTGATCCCTGCTTGGAGGGACCCTCCCTAGAGGGTGGCCTTGGGTCAGTCTCAGTTTCCAAGTCTGTGTAATGAGGTTAAAAGATCTTCCTCAGAGCATCGCTGTGGGAGAAATGAAAGTTGATAGAAGCGTCATCTCAGAGAAAGACAGGAGAATCCCAGAAGGGACTGGGGAGCCACACAGAATGGGGTGGGAGTAAGGAAATGGCATGCCTGCCCAGGTATGGGTCGAAACTGCAAGGAGGACACTTCTCTTGACAGCCTGCCTCTAATCTGAAGGGGGGGGGGCTATTGGTGGAAATAGTGCTAGTTGGGGAACCTGATTTTTGTTCTCAGCTGAGCCCCAGAAGAGTTAGGTGACTAAAGGTTGGTCATTTCCTTCCTCTCTGACTCAGTTTCCCCTTCTAGAAAAAATAAGCAGTCTTATTGTCTAAAGTGAATAATCCCCCTATGGGTGGGAGGGTGAGGTCATTAGGGGGTGGGAGGGTGAGGTCATTAGGGGGTGGGACTTTATGTGAAGGTGGGGGAGGGGGCAAGGTGAGCAGTGGGATTATATAAAGGAGACTCCAGGTGGGGAGACCTTCATTCCCAGCCACAGCTTTCCACGACCTCTTCCAGTTGTTCATGGTGCTGCTGTGAGGTGAGTCTCCCTTCCCCCCTTTCCTACCTAACTCAAGCTGTTTTCCTGCTCACATTTCGCCTCTTTGCCCATGTTAGGCCCCCCACCCCCATCCCCTCGAGTCCTGATCTCCTTCATAATCAGCACTGGGAAGCCTCGCCACCCTTGGCCATCCCCAGGGCACCTTGTTTGGCTTTCCTGCTTAAATGGCAAATAGGTGGCCTGGCCTGCGTCTTTGGAGCCCCTCTTAACCGGCCAAAACTTACACATTTTGGCTGTTGAATTTTGCTGGGCTGGGGTAGATGAAAGGATTGCTCCCAGGCTCAGTTGCCTGGCCATCACAGCCAACTTTTTCCCGCAGCAGGGCTTGTCGGCCGGGTCTCTGTTCTGGAAAAGCCATTTTTGGGGAAGTCCAAGGCTCTCAGGATCCTCCTGGCACTGTATCTTCCTTCCTCACCTTGGATTTCAGGGCTGGAAACGGCAAGGAAAACCAGAGGCTGACAGTTCACATATCCTTAAATATACAGTAAGTGCTTTCCTCACTCTTCCGAAAATCCCCAGCCTCAGATCTTCACTAGCCTCCAGGGCTTTCCCCTTTATTCCCCCACCTGATATTATTCAATGGTAGCACTTGGGTTTGCAGGCCTCCGGCTGTTGGGTGGGTCCCTTGTGGGCAGGGACTCTGGGGCCAGGGTCTAACTTAGACTAGGCCCAGTGTCATTTCCTTCCCACATTTGTCCTAAACCTTGGGTCCTGTCCCCTCACACCTCAGGCCTTGTGGTGGGCAGGTCCCCCGGCGATGCCCCTCATTCCTATTCTGTATTTGGGCCAGAAACTGAGGTCTTTGGAGGACAAAGATGGCTAGCTGGTAACTATTTCGGATTTTGTTCTGCCTCCACCCCCCGTAATCAATCCTCCTGCCTTGGCCAAAAGTAGATTTTTATTATTTGTGCCATCCTTTCTAAGGTTTCTAAGGTAATCTCATCAAATTAAAGATGCCCCTGTGGGCATTGCTAAACAATACAAACATCCTTGCACCCTGTATAAAGCCGGCTGCGTTGTAATCTTGCCTTCAGAGTCAGGGTAGAGCCACGTGCTCAATGCCCAGCACCCACCCTGGAAGGAAATGGCAGTGTGCCATCCTCCAGGTTCTTGGTTCAGGTGTCCTTATGGAGAGACTCTCGGTGGCTTCCAGTGGTCTTCTGCAGTTGTGGGAGCAGACAGGGTCCACCCCAACCTCATCCAAACGGGGCGCACTGTCCCATCTAACCAGGATATGCGTCCTCTTTGGATATTGTTGGGGGAGACAGGAGGCATGGCAGAATGGATTGCAGCACCAAGGGTTTGGCTTATATCATATCGTGGCTTTCAGATCTGATTTAACAGCATCCAATTGGTTGGCTCCCTCTGGGGTCCGCGTAGAGGAGCAGGACCAACTGGGTCATGTTGATCACGAAGTGCATCTCGAGGGCAGGTTCTGGGCTTTTAAAGCCCACCTGGCTTCCCCCTCCCAGTTACAAGCCAACCTAGGCTCGTTAGAATAGAGGGCTGCTGCCTTCCCAAATAGAAGGTGGCGATCAGCTTCCTGCCCACCCTCGGTGCTTGGACACCAACTTATTTCATACATAAGCCATCTTTTAACATCTACAAATGAAACTCCAGTCCAAGTCTTTTGAACCCTACTTGGCTAAGAGCTCATTTCAGTTGAGCCAACATTTGTTGCCATGGTAATGTCTGAGGTGCCAACCTGTGCCCTCCAGTCTCAACTGCCTTATTCATACCACACTCTCATTCTTATCTGTATCTAGAATGGGGTGTCCTGGTGTGAATGATTCTGTTGAGGATTCATCAGCCTGCAGTGGACGAACTCTGGCTTCCAGCCCCCAGCATTCGCAGCCATGACCTTCAACCTGTGACATCCCAACTGGGCACACTGTTGTGACAATGGACAGATGGTGTGCTTGTTTGGATGTGGCAGTTTGTAATGGGACCGACACCCAGCGATGCTTCTGGCCTCCGGGTCCTGAAATGGGCAAAAGAAACTACAGCTGGGGAAGTCCGGCTCCTTAGGAGAAGACGCCTTGCTGGCGGTGCTGGAACTCCTCCCGTTCCCATGTTTCTTCAGGCCCTGAATTAAATCCTGCTTTTACAAGAAATGCCAAGTAAGTTTCCTCATCTGTGTAGGAAAGGTGTTCCTTGTGAGCAGGAGGGGACAAGATTTAATGCCTCCAAAGGTTGCTTTCATTCAGGTCCGTAATCCTTCACTTGAGGAGAGGAACATTGGTTAGAGCGATCCTGGCTGAGCCTTTTAGCGTAGATACTTATTACCTGGGTGAATTAGTTGATGGCTGCATGAAAATCAAATTGGTTTTATAAGTCTGGTATATCCCAACTAGGAAGTCAGATCCAAGGTTTGAAATAAGCCTGGAAGGGGGGGGGGCAAGGATCCAGGAAAGGCCATCAGGGAGCCTTCATCTTGGGGCTTTTTAGATTGTAAGTTGGAAAAAATTGAATAAATTTGAATTGGGGACCAAGGCTTAAATTTGAGCCTAACCAGTAAGGCAGGCAGGTAATTGTTAGGCAGGGTACCAAGTGCAGTAGGTACCTGGGAGGAGGGATTTGTGGGCTAGTTCTGAAGACTTGAGTGCTAATGTTGTGATGGATTTTTTTTACTGCCTCTTCTCAAGGATTGCTTTCCAGACCCTTCTGGCCCATTCGTACATTACCATTCACAAGTTTGTTTGCTTTATTTCCTGAAGAATGTATATGGAATGAAATGAGCCTCAAGGGACTGGCCCTGAAGGAGGCTGCCAGGTTAACACTGGGTCCCATGCCCTCCTACTCCTGAGGTTTAATCACCTAGGATAAGGTTTTTTTATGGGCATCTCAGTCCTCATAGGCCTTTGGAACCTGGGAAACTGGTCTAACCCAATCACATCCAAAGTAGACGCCCTCTCTGGTCCTAGACAGGCGTCTTCTTTGGGTGTGATTGTGGAGGACACATGGCATCATTCATGGACAAGTTCTTACTTGGATCACCTGGCTGGAGCCCCTCCAAACTGGAAGTAGGGCAGTGGGGGGGAGTTTCAACGGATCTGTGCCGTCTTCACCTGACAGCTATTGTGTTGATTCCTTAGTGAAGGGGTTGATACAGTATTAATGATAGGGCCTGGGCCCAGAGCCCATCTAGTGGCCATGACATTGGACCTGTGGTTGACTTTGGGAGTGCTCTAGTCCCAAGGAACAGTCAGGACAGCTCAGGGAGGCATGGAAAAGCCAGACTTGGAATGGAGAAGTCAATTTGTTCCATCCTTACTAAGGGCACTTTTCTGCAAGCTGAAGGGCAAAGTGTTCCTAGTGAGGAAGGAACAGTTTGAGATTATCCTGCTGCATGTGGGAGAAAGGCCTTCACTGTGGACCCGACCTTGGTGCCTGAAGCCTGGGGAAGCTCCCTTTTACATTCTGAAAGATGGATTTGCAACCTGCTCTCTTTCAGAAGGTTTGGGAAGCTACTCTGGCCTCGGACCCTTGCTCTGTTGAGCTTTGGCTTCTTTTGATGCTGAAGGATCTGAGCTACACAAGTATCCAGTAACACTTTCATGCTTGAATCTCCTGAACCTCATGGCCAATGGGCCCTTGAGACAGGGGATATAGTAAGAGCACACCTAGGTGTTCAGCCCAGGTCCTAGGCCGTCCTCACCAAGGGCCCTTTCTGGATGTTGAGACAGGAAAGTGCTGCTGGTGAGGATGGCCTAGGTTTATGACAGCTTTGGGAGGCCTCCACCTAAATTAGGCTGCACGCTGTAAAGGGAGCAGGATCCTATAATGCAGAACATTATTTTGCCATTTAGGTAGTAGGGCCCTTTAAGGCATGGAAAGCAAGTTGGTGCTCAATCTTGCCCCAGACCTCTTTCCTCCTAAATCTAAACAATAGTGAAATGTACTCCTGCATGGCTTAAGCACAGCCCATACCTCCAAAGCAAATGGATAAGAAAACTTGCAATACAATGGCTTTAGATAATTATGTTTATACCAGAAACCAGGACACCTGGTCTGGTTTGTGTGATCTCTGACCTGTAATGATGGGGTGCTCGGATGCTTGAGCTTATACTTTTGCCCCAAAAATGCCTCCCTAGTCTCAAACACTATCTCTAACAACCATTCCCCAAACCAAGGACACTGTGCCTAGCAGTTATTCATGCATGGGCCTCGGCAGGACCCTTATCTCTCTCCCTGGTACAGCTACACAGCTGGGCTGCCCGGGCCCCAGCCCTCAGATCATGTCTCTGGAAGCCTCCCAATTCCTCAGTAAGTTCCTGTGTTGTGAGAAAGCTTTCCCTTGTTGCAGAGCATTCTCTCATCGAGGGAGAGGGGTGTCCTTGGCCAGCCCAAGGACTCTTCCTCTTGCCAGACTCCAAAGATTCACTCCCCTCCCTGTCCAGTATGCTCCCTGTACTTTCCCATCCATAGCCCCCAAAGACACCTGCACCTTTGGATTACCTCATCAGTGTTCCTGGCATTTCTTTCCCATGCTCTTTTCCATATAAACCCTAACTCGACCCCTGATTGGGGCTGCTTGATTTGGATGTGCATACCCCTCATGAATCCACATTTTAAATGATTTCTCGGTACAACAGGTCCTCTACAACAGAGCCCTTGGAGAGACAGCAGCAGGAGCTGTTAGACCCCTTCTCCCAGAGAAAGGCCACCATTTTTTTACAGACTAAAAGGACTGTGACCCTAGTTTTGGATGGCCCTGTTTTTTTGTTCAATTGTTTTCAGGATCCAGCTCTTCCTGAATTCATTTGGGTTTCCTTGCAAAGATGGGACTTTCAGATGAAGAAACAGGCCAGCAGGCTTAAGTGACTTGCCCAGGGCTTGGTTACACAACGAGCCTTGTGTCTGAGCTGGATGTGAAGATGGGTTTTCCTCACTCCTGCTCTACTTCTCAGCTGCCCTGCATGACCTTGATAGAAGCGTGTTTTAATTAAGCCTAGCCATGTGGCCATGCAATGCCATCCTGGGGTGATGGACCTGGTTACCCTCCTATCCTAACACTAAATTCGACATGTCCTTATGTCCATTAAATCTTTATTATTAAAATTAACTCTTGTGTTGATTGGGAGAACTTCATGGGGGGTGGAGCACAGCAGACACTGCCTCCCTTTTCCTCCCTCTCCCCAGCTCCATGTTGGGGCTAGGCCTCCTGGCATGCCCCCCATCCTTGTGTCTGGGTCCCCCCCCATCCTGGTCTTGGGTCTGCACAGGCCGGGCTGCTGGCCAAGGGTCAGACCTGGGGCGCTTGGGAGCAGACTGCTTGGACCTGGGGGTGGGGGTCTGGCCCTAATCCCAGGCCTTAGGCTACCCCAAGATGGGGGCCCCCTTAAGTTGGGGTGCACGTGGTGCCTCAGGTTTCCCTGTAGACTAGACCCTCGGGTAACGGGAAAGGGGGAGGGGGGCGCCCCAAGACCCCGATCCCACCCTCCACGCCCCTTCGTGTGGCTCCTGGCCAGTACGCATGTCAGCCTCGGGATGGGGCCGGCTCCATGGAGACGGAGACGCCCCACGCGTCCCTCAGGGCGGCAGCCATCTTTACCCCATCTGCTCCCACCTTGCAAATCGCGTCTGCCCCCAGTTCGGGGCGGTTTGGGTCTCTGCGGCCCGCCCCCCCCCCGCCCCCACTCGCTTATCAAAGCCACACCCGGTGGGAGGCCGAGGCCTCCAAGTGCGCCTGCGCGGTCAGACCGTGGACTGGACTTCATTTCCCAGAAGCCCTCGCGCCTCGCCTCTATTTTCCATAGTCTCGGTGGCCGAGATTCCTAACGATAGAGCGGTCTCAAGAGTGCTCATTTGTTATTTAATTCTGCGCCGTCACCTCTGCCTTCCTAAAGTAGAAAGCTCTGAGCAGGATGGATGTTTTGGGGCTACTATGGCAACTACCATAGGCAGCTTCCTCCTGCGGATTTCTACTTCCGGTGCCGTCCGGTCCCGCTACTGCGCATATGTCTGGGGATCTGTCAGGGGCGGGGCCGAGTCCGTGCAGGCTTCCTAAGGGCAGAGCGAGTCATCCCGGAGCCCAGCCGTCCGTCTGGTACTGTGCCCCGCTCCTGGCACCAGTGGAGCGCGCCCCTTCCTCCGTGCCCCCGCTCCTGCACGGATGCACTCTGGCTTGTGCACGGTCACCGGCCGACCTTCCCCTCACCTCTGGCCGATTGTGTGGGGTCAGGCACAGTCGGGCTTGGAGTCAAACCTTGTTCCCTTCTAGTCCTAGCGTTTTACCATTTCCAACAACCCTTGATGTTGACCTTGTCCCGCCCCGGGGTGCTCCCGGCCAAATTCTCTGTTCAGATGGCCTTTGCAATCTCCCCCCCCCCTTTCCTTCTCTGCCTTATTGTACAGATGAGGAAGCCGAGGCAAGCTAGTAAGGGTCTGATGTCGCATTCCAGACTGTACATCATGCAGTCTATCCACTGTGCCACCTAGGTGCCCTTGTGAAAAAAGTCGAGCTAGCCAGCAGCTCCCAGGAGACAACAGTTGGAAGTTCAACCCTGTGCAGTTCTGTGAACAGGCTCACCTCTGCTGGTTCTTCCTGCCCCCACGCTCCCCTGTCCTATCATCCCCAAGGTGTCCCACCGGTACAAAACTTTGGGTTCACATTTGCTTTTGTTCTTATGGCCCCTGCACTGTATCTACCACCGAGTCCAGAAGAGAAATCCTCCCAATCCACACCTGAGCAGAAGTCCCCACTGATGGAGCGGTTGTCAGGCTTCTGTTTTAAGGAGCTCCAGGGAGTGATGGGGAACTCGTTACTCTATGAGACAGCCCCTTGGGCTCTTTTGCCAATATAAACCTTGGCTTCTGGAAACTTACCCCAGCCCTTAAGGACTCCGGGGTGATGTTACTTTTGAGATGATTTTGAGCCCTCCCAACACCTGAGAAAGTCCTAAAACCTGCCTTGGTTTTTTATCTTGAATATCTTGATCTTGGTATTATCTTGAATAATGGGACTTAGGTTATATTATGTTATGCTAAATGTAGTGTTAATGATAGAGGAAAGAGCCACCCTGGATCTGCCATTTTTATTTTTGAAGGTCATAAGTCGGCATTAAGTTGAAGAACAGGTTATGAAGGAGGTGTGGGGGGGGGAGGCCTAGGGGAGAGGGAAGAAGGGAGGAGACAGGGAGAAGAGAGCCTTCTGTGTCTGCTCCAGACGGAGCTGATCCTGATTTCTAAGCCTTGGTCCAGGGCACACAATGAAGATGAGATTCCAGGGGCTGCAAGTTTAGGAAACATCAAGGGGTGACCGAAGTCGCACATCCAACCAGAGGTGAAGGCTGGGATTCTGCTTGGATCAGCAGCATGGCTTCCTTCTAGGAACTGATCTGATCCAGATAAGGCTGAAGTGCTGCAGATTTCTGATTTAAGTCCTTTAGGTTTCTACTTATGTTTGCTGCAATACCTTTCATTTCTAGATACTTCAAGCTATTCAGTTTGTTCATGTTTTATAGTCTTCACTGGTGGCTGTCAGCTGGCCGGTTAGGTATGTGGCCATTTTGGAGAACACATGCTGGCACAGCCCCGTGATGTCCGTCTTGGCGGGTTCCCTCCTCGGCCATCTCCACCATGGCATCGTCTAGGCCGGGAAAGGGAAAAAGGAGAAAGGATGGGGGAGGGGGGAAGGGGAGGGGAAGGCAAGCAATCTATCGTTTCAATGGGCACTTTGACACTTACATTTATGCATCTGTTCAATTAAATTCTTTTCTTCTGGTTAATACAATAATTTTGGCTGACACAGGCATAAACCAGGAAGGGAGAGGTGAGAGGGAATTTCTCTGAGGATGTAAGTACTGCTTTGTCCTTCCTTCGGCTCGTGTTCACAGTGAACTCCCATGCAGATTTCTCTATGCATGAGCCACCAGCTTTGAGAGAATTGACATGTACACGCAGCCTAATTTTGTTTGTCTTTCTCAGAAGGAACTGTAATAGTTGACACTTTGAATTCCAGTTTAATACTGTCTAACCCTGGGCAAATTTGTCTTGCTCCTTCTGAGTTTGGTTTTCTTCTCTCAGACAGTTTTGGTGGGCTTCCCTCAGTCTGTTGGTTATATGGCTTGCCCCTCTGCTACAGGGCTCTGCTTTGGTCAGGGATGCTGGACGGCCTACCTCAAGCAAGACTGAATCCCAAATTTTCTAAAATCACGTCTAACCACAAAGGGGAGCTCTCTGAAGGTGGACCAGGGCAAAGTGCAGCCCAGACCAAGGACGGTACCAGAGGTCCTCCCTCCCCTCTAGCGATGGACCTTGCAGTGAGTGCAGTCTCGGGCTCATTGTCTGGGATAGCCCTGGGCTTGTGTGCCCCACAAGGTTTAGGGAATGTTACAAAACAGGTGATGCAAGCATGACCTCCTTCCCAGGAATATTCGTGGTCAAAGGCAAAGACCACAAAAACCGTGGACAGTGATAAGCACGATGCCCCCTTCCCTACCGGCAAGCCAGTCGCACTACCCATTCCTCCTCCAAGCTGTCCAAATTACTCCCTTTCTCAAAGATCTGTTACCTGGAGGGCACCACACTGGGAGCTTCCACCAGCTAGGTAGCTAGGGGGAGCCACAGAGCACTGGGCCAGGAATCCGAAAGGTGTGAGTTCAAACCCAGCCTTAAACTGTACTGTGATCATGGGCAAAGTCACTTTACCTGTCTCAGCTTCTTCAACTATAAAACAGAGATCAGAGCACCTACCTCACAAACGAGGTAATACTTGTCAAGTACATTGGAAAACACTCAAAGCTAGCTGTTAGTAGCTCCAAACCTTGTCTAACCAGAGGTGGTCTCCAAGGAGGCCAGGGACTGGATGGGAGAGGAGACTGAGGAGAACTTGGTATCCTCTGGGTACACCTGGGCTTTCCAAGTATATCTAACTTTTAGGGTGTGATACGTGAGGAAAAGGCGAAATGTGAAAAATCTGACTGCCAAGCGATCACCGGGTCAGATTTCCTCATTTTACTGAGAAGAGGATGATCTAGAAAGGGGTAGTGCTTGGCCTATCGAAGACTACCTAATGAGTCAGGGAAAGACCCGGTTGGTCCACAAGCATCTTAAGAGTGCCAAGCACTGTGCTAAGCTCTGGATATGAAGAAAGTCAGGGACAAAAGCAACCTTCCCTCAAGGAGCTTGGGGTGAGAGGAGCAGCAAAGACCTCCTGCAGAAGGTGGAGGGCAGCAGATGCCTCCTGCCCACGGTGGGGTCTGAGCTGAGTCTGGAAGGGTGAATGCCAGACCCCAGGGTCACACAGTGAATCAGGAGAAGAGCCTGGTCAGGCTCCCAGGCGGGGCCTCCCTCCTGCTTCCTCCTGAAGGCCCGGAGTGTGGCCCGACCTCCAGGCGGGCCATTAGCGGCCTGGGCTCCAACGGGAGCTCTGTTGCTCAATCCTTTGTGTCTTGCTCCTTTCACTTCCTCTTCTGAGACCTCGGTTTTCTCTTCTGTGAAGCAGGAATGATGATCCTTATGGGTGGTGGGGAGAGTAAGGATACAAGTCCTAGAGAAATAAGCATAGGATTTGTCTTGTTTGGCCAGACCTCTAATTTCCTCTGGAGAAGCTTCCTCTGTTGGTACAGCCGGGCACCTGCTCTTCCACTTGGAATCTCAGAAAGTTTCCCAGGGCCTTGTATTCTGGGTCACAAGTGCAGGTGTGCCCACCCAGACTTCTGACTTGCACCCTCAAGCTTCTTAACTGAATGGGCCCATTTCTGCTTTGGCATCCTGAAGAGGTTGGGCCTCTGTACCTTCAGTGGTCTCATGTAAAGGCTTCTCCATGTTTGGGCCACACGGGCTGCATTTACACGGGACATGCCTGCTTGCCTGCATGTAATAAAGTGCTGAGGGCAGGAAGTCCTGTCTGAGGCTCAATGGAGGACACGGCATGTGCGGACCTAGGGCCCTCTTAGCGGTCACATTCACTGGCCTCTTGAGTCCTCACGCTTTTTGTATCTGCATCTTTTAATGCTGGAATGCCCTGTCTCCTGGACCTTCTCTCCTCCCTAGGGCTTCCGG